ATGTTTGGTAAAATACAAATTTCTTTTACTTCATGTAGACTTTCTTTATCTGTGGAAAGTGGTTGCCTGTACACCAGTATTAAGATTAAGAGGAAGTATGTCAGTTAGTTTAATTGGAAATTTAAAAAAAGATAGGCAAAGTTTTTTTCTTTAGTCTGTCTTAACATTTTGACCCATGAATTTTTCAGGGAAACTGCTGTCTTTATTTTTATTTATTTATTTATTTTTGTGTGTGTATCATTTGAACTGAGGGGTATTTAGAAAAAGATAAACAGGCTACATTACCCAGGTAAAGAACAAGTTGAGCGTGGCAGTTCTGAAATCTCTCTTCAGTACTGAACTATCAGGATCCTGAGTGGAACTCAATCTAGGTCTTCTACATGGGTAGCAAGAGCCTAATGTCATCTCAGCTATCATTTGCTGCCTTTCAGGGTCTGCATTAGCAGGAAAACAGGATTTGGGAGCAGAGTTGAAACTCCAACCCAGGCTCTCGATTACGGGGAGTGGGCATCTAACTGGCATCTTAACCTCTAGGCCAAATACTTACCCCATTTTTTTAAAATATATTTGGCACATTCACTTCTGCAAGTCACTAGGACTTATAGTGAAGGCATGTTAATTTACGAATGCAAGGCATGTGAAGTTTTTTGTAAACATCAAGAAAAGGGGAGATGGAGCACATGATGTGTAGGATAGAACATCCTCAGAATCCGCACCATGGGTTTATGAGAGTATACCGTAATGTGTGGGAGTGGCTTGCAAAGCCTGCACTCTGGGAGAGGAAATTGGGGCTCTTGAAAGAGGAACACAGGATGCTGATAGAAAGAAGACTGTGCAACCAAGGGGCTCTGACAGATAATTCTGATTAATGCAGAACACTGGCAAATAACTCATTCAGTGTCTTGAATGCAAAGCTGGAGAGTTCAGTTTTTATATAGGCAGAGTCAGTTAAAATTATTTTTTAGTTGATACAGTATTGGTGATTTGGAAACATTCATGTATTTGTTTTAGGGCTCCATGGTAATTAGATTGTAGGGTTTCTTTTTTTTTGTCTTTTTCCTGTTTTTTCTGTTTGTTTATTTGAAAGGCAGAGTTAGAGAAAAGAAGAGACAGAAAGCAAAAAGATCTTTCCACTGGTTCACTCCCCAGATAGCCACAATGGCCAGGGATTGGCCAGGGATAGACCAGGCCAAAGTCAGGAGCCAGGAGCTTCTTCCAGGTCTCTATGGCAGGGAAGGGTCTCAAGCACTTCAGCCATCCTCAACTGCTTTCTCCTGTGCATTAGCGGCGAGCTGGATAGAAAGGAGAGCAGCTGGGACTTGAACAGGTGCCCATATGGGATGCTGGTGCAGCAGGCAATGACTGAACCTATTGTGCTACACTGCCTGCCCCAGATTGTTGTAGTTTTTAAAAAGGTGTACTTTGCATGTAGAAGGTTAAGTGTGTAGTGAAGGAGGTTAAGCCTCCACCCATAGTGTCAGCATCCTTTCTGGGCACTGGTTCAAGTCCCAGCTACTGTACTTCCAGTCCAGCTCCCTGATAATGTACCTGGGAAAGCAGTGGAGATGACCCAAGTACTTGGGCCCCGGCACCCACATAGGAGACTGGGAAGAAGCTGCTGGCTCCTGGCTTCAGTCTGGCCCAGCCCAGTCCCAGCCTTTGTGGCTTTTTGGGGAGTGAACTAGTGAATGGGAAATCTCTCTGCCTCTCTCTCCCCATTTCTCTGCCTTTCAAATAAATAAATACATTTTTTTAAACCATACTTTATGGATTTCAGAATACTAAGGACACATAATTTTCTTTGTTTCTAATGTGAATTTATTGATGAATTCTGAAGATGCCTTCTCTTAAAGTCATCAGCATTGGATGAGATATCATCAACATCAGGACTTTGAATCGGGGCTCTGATTTGGAAACCAGCTTTGCAATGTGACCTTGGGTAGCTTTGGATAGCCTACCTAACTCACTCAAGCTCCAGGACTACTATAGTACCATTACCACAGATTTGTGATAGGATATAAATGTTTAGATGCTGAAGATCTAATATCCAATGCTAATAAACTAAAACAATGTACAAGTTGTTCTACTTGACAGTGCTAAAACCCTGTTAACTCTGATAGTGCTAAACATCACTATTTCTGTCACTTTAACATAGCTTTAAATTAGCTGATAACACGTCTTCATCTATGTGCAAGTTTTTGTATACTTTTCAAATTTAATGTTTCAAAATTAAAGAATATTCATAATGCTTTAGTAATCCTTATAGTATTTCTGATGCAAAATACAAGGGAGATCTTGAGCTACTCTTAAGACTCAACAGCTCCATTACTAGGTATTTATTCAAGATGATGAAACCTTATATTCACACAAAAAATCTTGCATGAAGATTTTTATAGTGACTTTACTTACAATATTCAAAAACTGGTTATAGCTGAATTTCTGTAGCAGAAATACTAGTCACCCATCAAAACAAATTAACTACTGATACATGTTACAATATGGACGAGCCTTCTAAATATTGCACTGATGGAAAGAAACTAGACACAAAAACACACACAGGACTATTATACAATATTCTGTAATAGGCCAACTAAACTGTAATGTGTTAGAATAATATTGGCAGCTGAGACCTGAGCTACCTGAGGACTTTGCTCAGTGTCACCATCTGTGTCTTAATGTACATTCTACAAAACTAATTGTTGCATTTAAGGTCTTGGGAATTCACTGTATGTAAAGTATACCTCCGTTTTTGTAAATGATTTAAACTCTAGGGCAACTCCTTAAGTAAGAAGTTACTGGTTGTAGGTAATCACATAAATTTAGCAGTGTTAAAGTATGATTTTTTGACCTTAAATGGTTGCTGTAGAACAGTTTCCTTTGTCCTAAATGGAAAGGTCCTTGTTCCAGCTGTCTAGAGGTTGTGTCCCTCACTCAGAGTTCCACAGCACACCTTGTGAACGCCTGGAGTGGAGCTGCGAAGCTTCTGATGCTGGTGCTGTCTGTGAAGGCAGAGTGGTGAAGTGTTAAGGGTGTGAGGATGCAGCTCCTCCTGGAGTGAGAGGCCCCAGGGTCCAAGTCCAATTCCAACCTAGATGGTTCTCTTCTGGGAGGCATTGATGTGTGAGACCTGAGGTCACTTCCCTTGTCATTGTGGCAGCTGACAGCAGCAACTCGAATGCTGTGCTGTTCTGGTTTTTATTCTCTTCTTGAATGATCAGTGCTGCTTGCAGTATCCTACACTCGCATGTATATACACAGTGATGTGCACACGTGCAGTACTTCCATCATCTTTCCCTTTGACCTTTTCCCATGTGTAATAGTGTATCACCAGCTACCGAGTGGTTTTGTTTTCTAGAGGAACAGTTTAGTCCGTATGTATTTTCAAACACCTGTTCTCTCTGCAAAAAAACTTTTTTGTTCTTTATTTATGTGATTGAGATAATTTGCTATCTTATTTGCTGACATTTTTAGATTTCTATTTCCTTCTAAGTATGGAAGATGACTAGAGGTATATTTACTGCTTTTTATTAAAAATTTTATAGAATTCAATTTATATTTTTGGTATTTGATTGTATATATTTAAATTTGAAGCAGCTGTTGATAAGTTTTAATTTTTCATGAAGTATAAGGAGTTTTATCTTAACAGATATGTAATTCTTTTAATAGCATTCCCTTTTGATAGCAACTTACTTATTTTTAATAGAATATCTGTGTTTTTTAAAAGATCATTTTGTTTCATCTTATACAAATTGGTAGAGGTCAAGGAATAGTAACCCTACAAACAAATATCTTTTGCCTATAACCTGCTGCAAAGTAGGATTTTTAAAAGTTGGCAGTGGCATACTAAGTCCTAAACAGTAGATAATACGTGGAAGTAAGAACCGTTCCCTCTCTATCACTATCTTTAAGAATGATTTTGACAGATGGACCTCATCCTTTGGGACCTAGACATTTGGGATTTGGAAGTAAAGATTTCTCATACCAATCATTTAAAAAGTCCTGATTAATAATCCTGAATTTGGGGATCTGTAGGGTTTTTAGTCATTTTTAAATAGAAAACAGCTCTGTTTTCATAGTGCTTACTGCTTTGCGAGTGGTGATATTCCACAAGCAGAAATTCAACACAGAAACAACAGAATCTGGAGGATGGCCCCTGAGAAGGTAGTGCTTAGGTGGAGATGGTAGGGTGGCATGCAAAGGAGCATCTGCAGAGAGGAGTAACTGGGAGTAGTGATTTGGTTTGATTTACAACAGTAGCTGTGTATATAAAATATTAATTTTAAGATTAATTGGTTTAACTTGAGAAGATAGTTTGGGGCCAGACCATCAGTATCCTACTTCTATATTTTTAGGTAGCAAGTACCCATATAAAGATTTGAGGCTTTAATTTTTGAGAATATTGAGGTAGAAGCTGTATTTTAGTCAATTGATGTGGCCTATATACAGACTGGTTGGAAGACAGATACCATTAATGGAAGATTCTAGTAGTTTTGATATTGTATCAATAGTAACTAGAACAAGGGTGACAAAAGTAAGTGGAAAGAGAGGGACAAATTCAAGGTAAAATATTGTGGCCAAACATGTTGATGATCAGAAATCATCCTGGATTATGTCTGTCATTGTGAATCTGAGTTTTGGAACATTCAGCAGAAATGATAGATGCTAAACAAAATGTGCTGTATGTAATTTTATCTAACATTTTCATTTCCAGTTAAAAGTGAAGCTTTTTAGAAAAACTTTAATAAATTAATACAGCTTACATAAAACATTTCCAAGTAGATACGTAGCTAGTGACTGTAGAATATGTTATATATCCTAATGCCATCACTGAGCAGATGGCCTTTGGTATGTCGGCACCTTTTGGTTCCTGTTCTTTCCTTCTCCCTGATTGAAGCAGATGACTGTAGTTACATGATGTCTAGTTTAAGTCTTGTGTGTAAATACAGCAGTGATGTATGTGGATGATCCTGAGTGCTACTGCTCTGTTTTTCCATGTGTAGGCTGAAGGAGAAGACAGCCTGAAGAAGATGCAGCTGATGGAGCTTGCGATTCTGAATGGCACCTACAGAGATGCCAACATTAAATCACGTAAGAATGAAACCGAGGCCCAGGGTTAGGGCAGTCTCGGCTGTTTTGTCCACAGACCTTTCCCATTTGGAAAGCAGAACAAATGAGAAGTAATTGTGTCACTTGATGTGGCATCAATAGTCCTGTTTTTAATACTTCCATGAATTGAGGATGCTCTTGATCTTATGACAGCAATCTAAGTATTGGGTTTTTGTGGACCTTTATTTAATTTATTTTATAGTGAAGTTTCAACCTTTAAATTCAAGAGTTTCAAATAATTTTCTATTTTGTTAACTAGATTTAAGACTATTTTGTTACTTTTATACAAAAGATAGATTTTTAAAACATCAAAATTTATGCTTAACTGATGAAAGTTGTATGTATTTGTGGGGTATCATGTGATATTTCCATACATGTATGTACATTGTGTGTAGCATTTAAGTCAGGGTAAATGTGTCAGTTTACCTTAACCATTTATCATTTCTTTATGGTGATAAACTTATTTTTTAAAAGCTAACTAAAGTGTACCTGTGAAATTCTTGCCTTTCACCTTGCTTGCCTGTTTTCCCTCCAGTATTTTTCCTCTATTTTTTTCATATGAGAGTTCACAGAGATCAGTTGGTAATAACTATGTTCAGTCTATTTTTTTCCTTTTTATGTGTCTGTTTTTATAAGGTATAAGAGAGTTGCTTTTTTATACTTTAAATGACATAATATGAAATTTATATTTTGAGACAGTCTAATACAGTGTACACATGTAATTTATGAATGCAGCATCATATTTAAATAGCTAAATTTTTTAAAAAAAAGAAATTTAAAGTCTTTGATAACTCTTTTTTTTTTATTTATTTATTTTTTGACAGGCAGAGTGGACAGTGAGAGAGAGAGAGCGAGAGAGAGAAAGGTCTTCCTTTTCCGTTGGTTCACCCTCTAATGGCCGCCACGGCTGGCGCACCGCGCTGATCCGATGGCAGGAGCCAGGTACTTCTCCTGGTCTCCCATGGGGTGCAGGGCCCAAGCACTTGGGCCATCCTCCACTGCACTCCCTGGCCACAGCAGAGAGCTGGCCTGGAAGAGGGGCAACCGGGACAGAATCCGGTGCCCCGACCGGGACTAGAACCCGGTGTGCTGGTGCTGCAAGGTGGAGGATTAGCCTAGTGAGCCGTGGCACCGGCTGATAACTCTTAATGGGTTTAAAGTAGTACTTTTCAACTAACTTTTATTTACTCATGAAACTGAGTATATCATTAACAGTCATGGAAAAATATATATTATTAAAAACAATAAACATGGATTTCAACGTTTTTTCTTGCATGTCTTTTAATTCTGCCTTGAACTTTTTGAAGCCCTATTTTTATATCATTAATCCTGACTTTATAAATAGTTAATTCCCTAAAGATGCAGGTGATTTATATGTAGACCTAATAATTACTTGCTTTTCTTGTTACAATGAAAAATACTCATTTTTTAACCTGAAACTACGTTTTAGAAATGTACCAAAACTGTGTTTCTGTGGACTCCAGTTCCAAATTATGATTTTTTAACATCTTTTAACGCAGTGTTTCCTTGTGCTTCTGCATGAATCTTTAGTCTCATGAAATCTTAAAAGCAGATAAATCAAATAAATGTAACCTACTTTAATGGTGTCATTCTTTTTTTTGTTTTACAGTGGCTTTTTAATTTTTGCACATTTATTAATCACATTGGGAAAGGGAAAGCTGTTTGCATTTGATTGGTGTGCTTTGACATTTTTGTGTGATTGGCGCATGTACTAATGATTTCCTTTTATTTTTCTTCTTTCCTGCTTTTTCCCTTTCTTTTTCCTACTCCCCTCTCGTTTTCCCATGTTTTATACTGCTGTCTCTGTACTTCCTTCTGAATTTCTTTGCTTACTGTAGCAGCCCTTGCCTTTTCTCTTGCAGCGACAGCCCAGGCTGCCCCAAGGATCATTACTGGGCCTGCGCCTGTTCTCCCACCAGCTGCCCTGCGTACTCCTACGCCAGCTGGCCCTACCATAATGCCTTTGATCAGACAAATACAGACCGCTGTCATGCCAAACGGAACTCCTCACCCAACTGCTGCAATAGTTCCTCCAGGGCCCGAAGCTGGTTTAATCTACACACCCTATGAATACCCCTACACGTTGGCACCAGCTACATCAATCCTTGAGTATCCTATTGAACCTAGTGGTGTATTAGGTAAGTTCTTCTCTCTGTGTGACTAACAACATTCTTTTCAATAAATTTTGCTGCCCCAGACTTTGAAATGATTTTATCAGTTTTAGACAGGCAAGTTTCCACTTGGAAGGACTGAATTTTATTTCTGCCTTTCAGAAGGCTTTCCCTTTTAAATAATTATACTTTATATTTGTTAAAGTGCACTTATTAATTCAAATTAACTTTGGTTACACAAATTGGTTATATAAATTTTTAACACTTTTCACATTTGACATCACTGAGGTAATTTTGAATTTTAGGGTCCACCCCGCTGACCTGTCACCTCCATCAGCTCCACTTCACAAAGTTAGATTTAATTGTCAGCTAAATTTTAAATTTTCATGTGAAACTATTTTAAGATCTTAATATTTATATTATTGTGTGTGTTTTTAAAAATTTGTGATCATTTAAAATGTAAAACAAACCAGATAAATAATGGCCTTGTTAAGGTTTTCCAGTGCTTGTCTTTTGAAGTGTTAGTTAACATGAAACATGAATTTCGGTAGTACAGTATTTAATAGATGTGTGAATAAATACCAAGTCACTGAATTCAGAGTCCCACCTGAGGCAGAAGTGAAGGTCATGGTATAAGCTCTTGGTGTTACATGAACAAAAGTGATGTGCTCGAAAAAGACATTCTTGATCCCTTTTTTTTATAGAGTGGATTGAAATGCCAGTCATGCCTGATATTTCAGCCCATTGACTTGCTGGATGGAGGACTAGAGCACCAGCAGCTGTTCTAACACGACCAGTCAATGTGGAACACACTGTTTCCGTGCATCCCTTTTGTTTTTCCAGACAGAATTTGAATACTTTTTTTTTTTCTTCTTGAATTGTATATGACCTTGGTGCTGCATGCATGCCGTTGACTTTTAGGACTTTGGTGTTTTAAGGTTTTTTTTTTTCCCTCCAGCATTAATACTGATTTATAAAAATTTGAAAGCCTTTTAATGAATCCGAACACTAAGATTTAAATTCAAAAATTCATTGTTCAATTAAAGCCACAATGCTCTGTATGTTATCTGTGTGTGTGCATGCACTCAGGTGCCTTTTGTTTTATGAACAAATACATTATATTGTACATGTTTTCCGTTCATCTCTACATCATTGTATGAAGTAATTATAGGTCAGAATTATACCACAGAACTGTTGATGAAAGGCTTGTTTCTGTTGCACATTTCTTGAAGCATTTTTAAAATAACCTGTAACCTGTAACCTGAAGTTTTCCTTTCTATTAATACTCTGTCCTGTGGCCCTGTGCATGCTCCTTCCCCCAGAACTCCTCTCTGCTGCACCCACAGCATCTGTTCCTGAGGAGTTAGGACTCTTGCCTTCCTGCAAGGCTGGGGTTCTTAGCCACCAGCTCGAATAGGAGAACTTTCATTGCAAGATCTCCCTGATTTTGCTGTCAGAACTACACTCACGTATGATTAGTTTATCTAAAATGGAAAAAGGGTTGTGAACCAGTTTACTGCTTAGAAACAGCAAGAGGCACTGCAGTAAAATTTCTCACTATAAACTAGTAGCATTGTTTTCTTTTGGTGGGAAATTTTTATTTATAAAATCTTAATTATTAGACTGGCAGAATTAACAGGAAAAAATGCATTTCGTAATTGGCATCGTAAGAAGAGAAATACTAAGTGAAGAAGTTTGTTATAATCAGTTTTATTTCTTGCTTTGCCACCTAAGCAGTAAAACTTGATATTGACCACTGGAAGAACTGAGAAAATTATCTTCAATTACTACATTACCGTAAATTTGCACACAGATAACATGCATGCTGTAAATCACCTCTCACAATAAATTACTTGCAAATATGCAGTGCCCTTCAAAACAGATGCAGACACGTGTGTTGGTGGTAGTGAGGAGATTGGTGTTAGCATCAAATCTTCATTGATGACTAATTTTTAATTCCCTTCCTTTTATCTTTAGGTATGGCTTTCCCAACGAAAGGCTAAGAATTCAAGAACGGTCTTAACTGAACCCTCATCAGATCTGAATTTAACAAATGCTTAGTCTCAGCAGCCTCCGGGGGAAAAAAGCTTAGCCTAGCAGTCAGTGACTTACTTGCACTTTTTGCACATAGATATAAAGTAAAAACTTGTTATTAATTTGGTTTAGCCTGTAATATTATGAAGTAACAGTAATTTATAAAGGAGTGTATAGTAGTATACTGACTGCTAAGTGTACTATACTGTTTGCTTTACTAATCACCTAATTCATTGCAGTTCATACTTATTGACTCAGAGTTTAAAACCACAATCTGTAGGCTTTAAGAATTGCTTTTAAACCTTTTTAAGTGATAAACTCTGGAAGTGGTCTTAAGGTTAGCAAATAATTGTCAGTATGAAACGTGGCATTATTGACGTAGTTGTGCTGCAAGAAAGGCACTCCAGTGAATATGTGACTAGTAAAGCTTCAATGTGTTTGCATCTAACAGAGCTCATGAAGTACTGTGACTTGGGGATTGTGAGTGAACAGATGAAAATAGGTTAAGACCAAGGTGTTTGAAATGAATGCAATATAAATAGATGCATATATACATGACATGTTATGGTTAACTTTAAAACTACTGTGCCTTAACGTGTTTCCTAAAGCAAACTTTTGTAGTAAATGAAATTTGAAATCCATTTTGATAAACCTGCTGTTAATGTTTCTTCCCCTTGTGAATGTTTTCTAACTTTGTCTTGGTAATTGCAATTTAACTAGGTGCGGTGGCTACTAAAGTTCGAAGGCACGATATGCGTGTCCATCCTTACCAAAGGATTGTGACCGCAGACCGAGGTTAGTTTAGTTCTGCAGTTCTTGTTTATAAGAAATGGGTTGGATGTCCATACAGTTTGCAACACCACACCTGATGGAAAAATGTAACTGCTTACCTGCCCCCTGTTTTCATTTTCTAAATTCATTTGTAATAATTGACAGATTTAAGGTTGGGCCTTTTGTTTTCTTTCTCCCTTCATATATTTTAACTTATTAAGTCTTCTAGTATTATGTACTATGGATTTATTCCTACTAAAACATAAATTAGTCAATTTCGGGAGCTATTAAATTTTTATGTTGCCTTAGCTATTTTTCAATAACTTTTACTGAAATTTACCTTTTAATTGTTCTGAAATTCTGGGTTGGTATTGCAAAATGAATTGAACAGATGGTGCTTTAATGAGAGAAGTAAAGGAATATTTGCCTCCTGTGTACTTTTGGAGAAAACTGAAGATTTAGTTTCCATTTTTCTTTACAATAAAATATTTGAGCCACTTTATAAACATGAGGAGGATGTACATGTCAAATACTTCGCTAAAATCAAAAGGACTGTGAAGATAACTTTCATGTAGTTGAATATTTTTCTTAATTAGAATACCAATTCCCTTTTATTCTTCCATTCTCTTGCCAAAATGGATCCTTTGATTTTTGTCATTTGCTGCTAAAATATATTATCTGAAGGTAAACTATCTCCTGAAGTTCTGTGGTATATAAGATCCAACTGTTTAAATATCCTTTTTAACTCACCTGTGACTGGAAAATAAGTCTTCATTTTTCTCCTTTTCAACATTTGTAGTTTGTGTCCTATATATATGTGTGTGTGTGTGTATGTGTCCTTGGACCCTTATATACATTATTTATGTTTATTGAGGAGTGATCTTTTCGGTTTATTGACATTGAATTGTTTTCTAAGTTGTTTTTTTTTTTTTTAAACCACAAGATAGGCATCTGAAGCTTGGTAGAAAAGAACTTTTTCCCATCTTCTATGATGGTACATCTGCCATCTACTAATTAAATTGATCAAAGTCTCTGCTGTTAGTAGGGAAAAGAAGTGATATGTTACACTCCAATTATACACCTCTATGACTATGAAACACCTACCTACTTCACATGATTTATATTTGAATATTGATTATAAGTATTGGACACAGCTGTTGTCCACATCAGAAATAAAATGCCTTTCCATTGTGATATTCATTTAGCATCATGCATCATCAAAGAGCCTTCCAGACTTTTAACTAATACATACATTACTTGTGGTGAACATTCAGTGAATGACCCTAAGCTCCATGATTATCTATGAAGATTGTACTCCTTGCAAGTCATGTAGAGATGGAAAATCTTGGTTTTTTTAAAAGTTATTTAGATTTGAAGAAACTAGATAATCCCATGAATAATTTGAAGCTTTATTCATATCGATACTGTTTAAATTAGTTCTACTGAATACCCCAGCATAGTTTTTCCACTGTTAAGTTTTTCCTGAATGCCCCCTCTTAGGAGATTTTTCATTATTTGGTTTTAACGCAATAATTATTGGCTTACTTAATACTCCGTGCCTTGAGATAGTCGAAAATATTAAAGGAAGGTTTTATCATATTTGGAAAATGACAGCACATTCCATGCATGGCTCTTTTTTAGTTAAATGTGTTTTAATTAATTCTCATTGTTTTTATTCAAAATGCAATGTCAGCAAACCGAAATGCTAATTTTTTTTTAAAGTAACAGAATACTTTATACTTGCTATCACTGTATGCACTCATTGGGTCTAAGGGTGATGTCTAAAATCCTTTACTTAAATTATTTTATGATACTACTGTTTTCTCTATTTTTGAGGTTTTTTTTTTTTAATTATTTTTTAAAAAAGTCTTTTGAAGAGATTATTATAACCATTCACCTAATACAAGGAAAATCAGCCCTTGGATATGTAACCATGTAATTCTAAATGAACATTTAGAGTACTACATGGTTGACAGATTTCTAGTCTTTACTAAAAATAAACCCACCTCTAGACGTGTGTCAAAACTGAATTTGAAACCTATAAAAGACCAACTGACTTTTTAGTTGTAATTAACTATAACCGGTTTTGCACAGTTGTCACTCCTGTGTGTACTGTAGGAGGCCAGGACTTGGCAGAGGATATATTATAGGTGTACTGGTATATATAAATGGTAGTTACTTTGTTTATATATTCCACACTTAAAGACACCTAATGAAATGTTTTTCTGAGTAATGATTTTACAAAAACCATTACTTACATAATTTGTATAAAAAATTTAAACAATTTTAATCAAAACTAAGTAATATCAAAAATGCTTTAAGATTCCATATTTTGGAATACCTGTTAAATAATAATGACTATAAATACTTACTTTCTCCTTTGATTTTGAAATAGCAGTTTTTATTTTAAATGAAATTCCACTTTTTAAGAAATTCAGGGAAGATTTGGTCACATTGAAGATATAATATTTTTGTAGTATTTATGAACTGTCCTAAATGGTAGACTATGGAAAGCATTTTTGTCATAATGAAGGTAAATCAGTCCATTATATTACATCATTTAAACTCTGTGAGCATTATATCTACTGAGTTTTGATTTATGAAGTGACACAGAATCTGACTTTGCACTGAATAACTTTTTGTTCACATTTCCTCTGCCTTAAGTCACAAATGGCAACAGTACAGAAAATTCTATCAAACCTCAGAATATAGTAGAAATAATTAAGCTGTTGAATGAGTCTTAAAAAAATCATACTACTGTTAAGTGGACCAAGTTGGATGAAGCAGAATGTGACAGATGTTGATTAAGGAAGGAACAACTCAAGGACATTGGGAATGATAACTTTTCCACTTGAGAACTACTTTATGTTTTACTGTAATTTTTAAATTTTTTGTTACTTTGCAAAAGAAAATAGTATTTACAGGTGGCTTCTTTTAAAATATAAAAATATAAAGCAGGAATGTATATGAAATGTCAGATTTTATTGTATTTGCAGAGTATTAGCTTTGAAATTGAATAAAGAAAGCTGTTTGTAGTTTTAAAATGCCTTATTGGTATCAATTAGAAATTTCTTCTATTTTTTGATGTACCTAGAGCTTTTTGAGTATAGAATTTTAAATGGCAGGATTTTACAGTGTTTACATGCAAGTGCATTTTATAAGTGTTCTATATGTGTAAAATAGTCTTTTCAACTGGAAAGTGTTGGCTGGTGCAGAAGGCCTGGCCTTTTTCTGGTTCCCATGATGTTGCCTACACTGCTAGACTACAGTTTAGTATTGCTTTGTATCATGAGGCCAAGAAATTCCATGTTGTTTGTAAATAGAATAATTGAAAAAGCAATAAACATTTATTGAATAAAAGAAACCTGTTTGGCCCAGAGTTTATGTTGAACCAAATTGTTCATAGAAATTTAAATTCCATTAGATTCATTTCTGTTGATCATCAGTTATTAATAATCACAACCATCATTAATAGTCGCTTAATGCTTGCATCTGAGAGAATACTAATGCTTAATAGCAGTCAGATACTGTTAACTGCACTGACTGTTTCAAAATTCTGTATACCAAACCTATTCATTGTTGTTTTCCAATTTCCTTCATTGACTGCTACTAACTATTAGTTGTTAGTTGTATTTTATTTCTATTTTTTTCCTGTTAACCAGTTCCTTTTTTTTATTTATTTATTTTTTGTGGGAGTGGGCTCTTCTTCATTTGTTCAAATCATGATATGGAATTGTCATGATTTTTATTGTATTCTGTAGATGGTGTCAATCAGTTTGTCAGAATTAAACATGCTTTTTTTTTTTTTTATTAGTTGTGATTAGTTTTTCATGTTGTCATTAAGCCGTCACTAGCTGAAACTAATCTCTTCTCTATCTTTTCTTTTCTTTTTTTGTTTTGTTTTTTGTTTCTAACCACCCAGCCGCCACCGGCAACTAACCTATGACCTTCTGACCTCTGAACTCTTCACCCAATGATGACCTGACCATGCCTGCCTGCTGATCAGTTAACTGGTAATCGCCTTTGCTTGCCTGTCGTCAGTGCAGCGAGCTGAGGCACTTGTCCGTTCGTCTTACCATCTAACCAAACAAAAGACAAAGAAATTGTTGTCCTCCAACTCAGCTTTTTTTCCTTACCCCCCCCCCCCCCCAATTTGGGTGAACGTGGTTCTAGAACCTGCACTGAATAGTAGTAAAGCAATAAGGCCCAATTCATCCCACAGCACTGACCGTCTTTTAATGTCCCCCTCTGAGCGAACGGTAAGGGGAGACAGATGGCCCTTAACTACTCATTGACAGAGGCAGTTACTGTGAGAGACTTCTAGGAACCTTTTTCTTCTCATAGCGAAGTCAAAGCTCTCTCTGAATGTACTGTGTGATGATACATCATGCATGAACCTTTGGTCAGGGATGTCATTGGTGAAGTGATTTCAAAAAGTATTCAGAATTCGATATGCTGTTCCGTCACTACTGTGCCCTCAAAGGGCAGAGGGGGCAGCCTTCTCACATTGCCTGCCAGAATCTGAAGTATTAGAAGAAAGTGTGCCATGAGAGGAGACGTGACAAGGAGTTTGGGAAATTAGTGCAAAGTAAAAATACTGCAACACTATTTTTAAAAAGATAAATATCTGAGTTAAAATTACTGAACCTTTATTTTACACCTCCGTTAAAAATATACGAGAACAAGGTACATGCATTATGTGTCACATTACTGGGCAAACTGTTCAAGTATTTTTTTTAAACCTCCCTGTATAGAAAAAATCATTAAGGATGTAAAAGCCATGCTTGCCTATTTGCTGTATACATGTAATGAAATTGTAGATAAAGTGTAGTGCATTGAAACAAATGAACAAAAAGTAGATTCTTTTACTATACAAGGGTGCTGGTGCAGAAAAAAAATATATATATTTTTGGAAATGTAGCATTTTATACTTTCAAGTGTTATAAAAAAAAGAAAAAGAACAAAGAAACCCTTTATTTCATTAAATGATTTTTTCTGGTGGTTGTCAAGAAACAAAAGACCAAAAGAGCCTTTTTGTCTTTATTTTTTATTTTTTAAGTATTGGAATAAGTCTAAAGAAAAGAAAGTGCCTTATTTTCCTTCATGGTCATTTAGTCAAGTGTCTCGTAAGATCAGCTCCTCCCTCACAATAAAAGTTAATGCATGTTCCTCAGTCGCCCAGTATGTGAAAGAAGATAAGAGGGGAGACAAATGAGTTGATGGTTTGATTCATACGATTTTTGCCACATTACCTTGATGCAAATTTGCCAAATCTGATACTGTGAAAAAATTGATAACTTTTCTAATGTCTGACTTGTTAAGTTTTAAAACATAATTCTTTTAAAAATCATAATTGAATACTTTTGGTTATTATAATCTCCAGTGTTCACCCAAAAGATTCTGAGATAAAAATTATGTGAGATCATCTGAACATCAGTTTACAGACAGAATTACAGCTTTATTTTATTTGGAGAAGGGGTAGACCTTGGACTTTTTTTTTTTTTCTTATTAATTGGAGAATAGTAGTAAGCCTAGCAAACCTTTTCACAAAAATGAATCTTAGTGATTTTCATTCTGAAAAACTGTTTTTAAATGACCCCAATTTAATCATCCTACTTTATACCATTAGCAGAGGACTTGTAATGTCCATCTCTTTGCTGGTTTTAGTAACCTCCCCTCCTGTTCCCACATGTGTTTTTGACTCCCTTTTTTTTTAAAATTTTAAAAGAATGGGAAAAACCATCATTGTGGGTGTAAATACTCAAGTACACTTCAGTTGCTCATGAATTCAGTTTTGTAGTTGAAGCATTTTGTATGCAAAGCTACATCTGAACACTGAGTGAATAGTTGTTAGCTGCTCAGTACCAGACATGGCAAATCTCAAGTGGCAGTGGACTTCCAGCTCGTCAACTCTTCTCCCTCTCCCGTCCTTCACAGGCAAGGTCAGCAGGACGCTCAGTCAGCACCTTCACGGTGACCTCTCCATCATCGTGTCTCTCTTGGAAACCTTTTTCAGTTTATTTACTATGCAATAGACATTCATTGTTTTGTATTCTGCTAGCTTTGGTTTAATGTGCCACTGCTTTGTCTTTCTGTTACACATACCATTGTTTTGATTTATTTACAATATATGCTGTGCCATTTTGATTTTTATTTTGTTTGGTTGGTTGAATAAATTTGCGACACTCAAACACTTGAGGTGATAGTTGTTAAAAACGATACCAGTATTTGATCCAGTTTCATCTCAACTGCGTTATACCTGGACATTTTAGATGTTTATCAAAGGTCTTTTCTGGGGAAGGAAGTAAATGTATGAGATAATAAATGTGTGACATTTATGAGTAATGCTGGCTCTGAACAAACTGTTGAAAACTTTAGTTGGTAAAATTTTGGATCAACTGAAAAAAAAAAGCATGACTTTTGAACTCTCTGAATGCCTTGGTTCTCAGTATTATCATTCTTTATTGAATTTATTTCTTATTAAAATATGTAGTTTTTAAGACTTTTTTTTCTGACAGTATTATGTAATTTTTTAGCGTGGGTAGGTGGGAGTGTCGCTTGTATGTTACCGTACAGCTGACATGTATTTTTGTCTATTCTTTATTATCTTAGTAGTTTCATGCTATGTATGTACCATAACCAACCTATTGCCTATGAGAAACATGTAAGATAATGTATTTACAGCCATTGTTACAAGTTTATAATGTATTTTTCTATCTTGTTTTATATGTATGTTATATAACATTCAAAAAGAATTTTTTTCTTGATTGAGAAAAGGATACAAAATGCAAAATCCACAATTTTGATAACTGAAAATTGCCAATTGTTTTGCAGTACTTTATTATATTGGGTGTCTTGTCTTTCTTGAGCTTTTAGTTAGCTAATGAATGAAAACATTAGACACTTTGAGTTTTAGTTGGGATTTTACATAGCTTGCATTTTAATTCTTTGGTTCCTTGCTGTTTCTATTAACCCATAGCATTATTTTAATAAATGTTATAATACCAACCTACTAACTCTGGACTGTGTCTGTTTATTAACCTTTCCATGTTTAATAAACAAATAAAAACAAAAGAATGTCAAGTCGTAAGTTACTGGACTAACCCTGGAGAAGGTGACACAGATAACATAGCGTGACTTGTGTTCATGTTGTCTGTCAGCTGACAGCTGCGCACACTGCTGTTAAAACAGCTCTGGGTTTTCTGGCCTTTTACTTTGGGGAGTAGGTGCCAGGAGAGATGGGAGCAAAGTGGTTTGAGGCGTTCTCCTAGTCTTGCCCCTTGCCTTTCAGCATCTGCATTACTAATTCCACACTTTATTTTCCTTCTCCACATAATCTTGATCTGCTCAGAGCATGAAGATCAGAGAGATTGATTGTAATGATATTCTTTGAGAAACCAGTTTGATTCTTTGTTGGATCTTTTAATTTCTTTAAGTAGGTAGTTTTATGGCCACATCATAAAGCAAAGAATCTGATATTTTGCCTCCACGTAGGTCTTCATTCTACCTTGGCATCTCCCTTTGTCAGTTGTCAAGCCTGTTTTAGCCAAGTGGTTCTGTTAGGCACTCTCTCTGTGGGTGAAGCCAGAGACTGCGGGCTGTTTCTCGGGGTCCCCAGACGCTGTGCTGCCCACCTTCATTCTGGCCCTCCCGAGGCAAGTTACTGAGACTTTCTCAGATGTTTTTCTGTCTGGAACATTAGAAATTTAAGGGAAAAGCACTGGAGTTTAGAAAGTTTTGTGTGTTTTGGTCTCTTACATTCAGACCTGTTTGATTGACTTCTTTAGTTGAGGTGTATTTTTATTTTTCACAGATTACTATTTGTCTTTTCTGTGAAACACACTTTATTTTCTGGATAATAATTTTTGTCAGGATGAATTTTTCTGTTTATTTTTATAAATTGCTTTTTATTTATTTGGAGTTCTAAAATTTAGGGCTGAAATGAGTTACATGTAGTAATTGTTCTTAACCAGTATGCTCTTAACTGGACTGTCAAGTATTCTCATTTTTCCTGGATACACATATATGCGTTAAACACACAGCATAGGGATGACTGACTGGAACCAGTGCGGGATGAGCAGGGCAGGGTATTGTTAGGTAGACAGATCCTTAATATGTTACCAGCTTAGACATTCTCGTGACGTAACAGCTTGTGTGTCCTGTGAGGATTTGAAGATGTTGTGAAGCTGCTAATACACAAGTTGTCGTGTTACTGTGTCACTTAGATAGTTGAGAGTTCCTATGCAGTTGACTGTTCTCTGAAGCCCATGAGTGCAGTCTTAAGGGCACTTGATGTATGCTTGTGTTATACTGTCACCTTTTATGTGACAAGTATTGTAAAAAGACAGTTTTAAAAGGTGAAAA